GGGATGGGGGGACGGACGGGGACTCCGAGCACCTTCCCGGGTCGCGAGGCCCTGGGCCTCCCTCCCTTCCTCCGCTCCCTCGCCTTTCCCGGCTGCGTTCCCGCAGCCATCCCCGCTCTCCCCCCTTCCCATCCTGCCGCCGATCGAGGAGGGGCGCCGAGCCCACCCCTACCCCACCGACCCCCCACCCCCACCCCGCTCCCTCAGCTTTTTTGTCTTGCTGCCAGCGCGGTCGTGCGCCTGGAAGAGAAAAGGCTTTGCGCGGGGTTGGGGAATCCTTGCTCCAGATGAGGGGCGGAGGGAACAGAAAAGAATGCACCCCCTCTTCCCTTTTTTAAATTTCCTGTTCGGTCTTCTGGTAACTAGGATCGGACCCTGGGAGCAAGGTGTGTGTGGGGGGGGGAGTGGGGGGCCGCAGCAGATGCCCCAGGCTGCAGGACCGGCGCCTCGGGCCCTGCGCCCCACCTCGCCTGGAACGCAGCTCAGCTCACAGGCCCTGGCCCCGCCCCTCCCCAATCGGGCCAGTGGCTGGGGAAAATGCGAGGCTTCTACGTGCTGGAACTGACCCTGGCCCAGGCGCCTAATTCATGCTTGGTTATTCATTCATTCTCTGTCCACTGGGCTCCTTCTGACCACCCTGTCCCCGCCCTCCTGCGCTAGGTGCCGGGGATACCTCGGGAGCAAGATCCCGCAGATCCTGCAGCCCGGTGGATGGCGCCCCGAGACCACAGACCTGCCAGGTGGGTATCCTGTGGGGAATCTGAGGCCTAGGCCTGACAGATTTGTTCTAGAGCAGGCAACAAGTAAAAGGAAAGAATCAAACTTGAACCCATCTGCTTCTGGTATGCCAACCCGTGTAGTGAATTGTGGTGAAAAGTGTGACTGTGATTTACCGGAAGTGCAACTCTTAGGTCGAGGATGCTTCTCATTGATTTCTCCAGATATGGGATGTTACAACTTAACGATCAGTTAATCCGAATTTTGTTTTCCTTTCTTCTGTTCCTTTATTTGACTGTTAGGAAAGAAAAAAAATTTCCTGATGGTTGGTCCAAACAGGGCCTCCCTGGTGGATTGAGGAATGCCTGGCTTTTCCTCAGCTCACTGATCTCTGTGGTAACCACCGGCAACCCCAAGAAGACCCCCAAAATGAGAGGCCTGAGGTCTTCAAGTCACTACTAGAAATATTTTGGCCTCTCCAGAAAACAGAATGCAGCCCCCACATACGTTTATAAGGTAAATACCCCTGCCTCTGTCACTTGGCCGAAAATATTGTTTGAAGTTCCTTCTCTCTATCTGCCTTTATCTTCAACATTTGAGAATGTTTCTCTTTGGGAGGGCATGTCAACAGTCATATCTTGAGATTTCTTGTTTTTAATAAAAGCATAGGCTGCCATCAAGAAAAATACCTTTTTTTGCGGGGGCGGGTCTGGTCGTGGAGCCTGAACTCTGGGCCTGGGCCACAGCACCACTTCCGGTTTTTTTCTTTTTGCGTATGTGGTGCTGAGTAATCGAACCCAGGGCCTCAGGCATGCAAGGCAAGCACTCTACCACTGAGCCACCTTCCCAGCCCCAAGAAAAATATCTTTCAAAAAGAATCTTTGGGTGGGTACCTGTGGTTCATGCCTATAATCCTAACTACTCAGGAGGCTGAGATCTAAGGACTGAAGTTCAAAGCCAGCTCAGTCAAACAAGTCTGTGAGACTCTTATCTCCAATTATCCACCCAAAATATAGAAGTAGGGCTGTGGCTCCAGTGGTAGAGTACCAAACTTGAATGAAAAAGCTACACAAAAGTTGAAGACCCCGAGTTCAAGCCCCAGTACTGGCACACACAAAAAATAAACTTTATTGTGCATATGCAACCCTTAACTGTAAGTGTCCAATTCCAGAAAATTCGACAAATGTACACACACACACACACACATATATATATATATATATACATACACATATATATGTATATACATATACATACAGGTAATCAACCCAGAAATTAATATGGTAAACATTTGTTTACCCAAATTTTCCTCTAGGCCCTTTGCCCTTACTTGATTTATATATTTTGTTGTTATACATTCCCTAAATTGCGTGTACAGGATGAGCACGAATAGATATTTGTAATCTCAAAACCTAAAAGGAGAAGTGGCACTGTGGCTCAAGTGGTAGAGCGCTCACCTTAAGCTAAGAGCTGAGGGACAGCGCCCAGGCCCAGAGTTCAGGCCCCAAACCAACTCCCCCCCCAAAAAAAAAACATAAAACAAAAAACCCCAAAAAACAAAACTAAGAGGACGAGAGTGGACAACTAAAGCATGGTAGTCAGAACAGAAAGTTCTAGGGTTTTTTTTTTTTTTTAGGGACTTGGATAGCCCAGCAGTAAAGGTCGTGAGGGGCGGGGGGGTTGGGTGCTTAGTTCCCGGCCAGGAGGTGGAAAAGAATGACCACTCCCGTTTGCACACCAGGTCTTATTTCTCTGGTCCCGCAGGGCCCTGGGCGCACGCTGACGGAGCACTTGCGCGCGCGCGCGCTCGGGCGCGCGGCCGGCCAGGCAGACGCGCCCTTTTGCTCCGGGTCCAGGCTGGGCGCTGCCATAGCAACGTCCTGGACGCCCAGCCCTCAGGCCGCCGCCGCCGCCGCCGCCGCCGCCACCGCAGTCGGGGTCCTGGGCTATTCCTGCTTCCAAGGCCGGTGGCGGCGGCGGCCCAGGCCAGCTAGACGAGACTGGACCGCCCCTTCCATGCAAGCATAGGCGGCGGATTGGCCTGCAAGCATGGTAAGAGGTGGGAATCAGGAGTGCCCACTGCGGGAGGGGAGCCGGGGGGGG